GCAGCTGTGACATACAACTATCTACTGGGGCTTTGGAGGGAAAAAATAAATAAATAAAATCTTTAAAAAAAAAAAAAAAGTTTATTTAAAAAATAAAAGCCCGAGTGTCAAAGGGCTCCTGTTTTGATGTCAGGAAGAGATGATGTATCTATCATCAAATTGGCCAGTGATCCTGCTCCAGAGCATGCTTTGGGGCCTGGTCTCTTATCCGCTTTCACATAACTGATGAAGGCAGCAAACTCAAAACAAGCAAACAAAAAACAAAACAGAAGAATCACTACTATAAAATATACTAGGTGGTCCAATTTAATGGTTTACCTCAAATGGTTAATAACAAAGCTAGGAGTCGTACCACCAGCTGATTGATCACAGGCCTAGAAGATGAATGTGCTCCCTGCTGGAAGAATCCCAACAAGCTGAGAAAGTTTCCTAACCTGATGATGGCCTCACTGTATACCTTATCTTCATGACACCAGACAAGACTAGACAAGACTACCAACCAACCTAACAATCTTCAGGCCACCAAGTTCCTCGTCTCCAAGTCCTCAAGAAAGAGCACTTTTTTCCAACTAATACCATAGAACAAACCTGTAAACATAACTTCCGGTCAGGGGTGGCAAATGTCCTCCTGACCTCCCGTTTTTGTAAACCAAGTTTTGCTGGAACACAGTCATACCCATTCATTCATTTATGTACTATCTATGGCTGCTTAGTGTGACAGAGACAATATGGCTCACCAAGTCGAACAGACGCACTACCTTGTCCTTTATGAAATGTTGGCCGATTCCTCTGATAATTATTATGTTTACCTTGGTTTTGGCATTTAATTTTATTTAGTAGGCACAGGACACCAAAAAATCATTAAATACGCAACAACTCCCACGAAGTTTAGCTTAGTCAAACACACAGAGATGAGATTCTATGCAGTGTGTCCGAATGAAAATATTACAAGGATCCAAATGAGTGATTAAATGCCCCTCCTTGCACAAAACATACAGGCCTACGGTACTGAAGCAGACCTCTTTTACTACAAGTAATAACGTGTTTGATTTATCTGTATTAAATGAAGAGATGAGATGACTTGGTAACATTAATAAAACCAGGACAAATCATAAACTGGTTGTTTTATTATACATTAGAGATGATTCTTACTAATTGATATGATTCTTTTCAGAGTGCACCAAAATGCACAAAATACAAATGATTGCTTAAATACTTTTCTTCATGCGGCTAGCTATAAACTCATTGCTTTGATGTTTATATAATTTAGATGTAATTTAGAAAGCATACAAACATGATATTACAACATTTTTTCCCTTTTATAAAGGAATCTAAATAAAGTTTTTTTTTTAAGTAAAAGATTTTCTTGCGTTTGATTCAAGATGGTTTATTGAACTAGCATGGCGTCCTGAGATTCCACAGAAATACAAGCATAGAAATGTAAAATTTAATAGTTCCATAATAGTGTGTGTGGGGGGGGCATGAAGTACATTCATCAGTAATTGAGAAGAGTTCAACAAATTCTTGGCAAATTTTTGATAAAAAGCAAGTTATAATCTGGAGGTTGGGCTTAGGTTGGAGTGTGAGAGATGGGGCTATAAATAGGGATGAATTAAAATTCTACATAAAAACAGACAAAACTGTTAGAACAAATTCTCTCTGCCCCACCCCTCACCAGAACACAATTAAACAGAAATTTACCCTGGGTAAAAAGAGAGGGCTGTTCTCCAAAGAAAACAAATAAAATGTCTGATAAAAGCCAAGTCTTTTTGTGTGGGTACTAAGACCCCAGAGTGAAATTATCCACATTCTGGCATTTGGGAGCAACCCCCACCAGAAAAACACTCCACCCACTCACCCTACAACAGGGGTTGTTACCTTGCTGTCCAGAAACCCTCCCTCAAGGATCTAAGGAAAGAATTCAATGAACTTGGATGGGAAGAAAAATCACATCATATTTTCATAAACCTCTAAATTGACATTTAGCATTTTCTTCTGTTTTGAACACTGGCAACAAACCACACTAGTATCAGCAGCACCTGTGACTGTCACCAACAGAAATCACAGGTACCTTCATATATCACATTACAGTTGTTGCAGATCTCAAAATATCTTTTATGTTCACCACTATGTCAAAATTACAATAATTAGACCTACTGCTGGATCTTATTACTTAGTGCATTAATAAAGAACATATTACTCTTACCGCATTTGCTTGTTTATATATATATATATATATATTTTTTTTTCTGGTGAGGAAGATTGGCCCTGAGCTAACATCCGCTGCCAGTCTTCCTCTTTTTGCTGAGGAAGATTGGTCCTGAGCTAACATCTGTGCCCATCTTCCATTTTGTATGTGGGACGCCACCACAGCATGGTCTGATGAGCAGTGCGTAGGTCCGTGCCTGGGATCTGAACCCGCGAACCCTGGGCTGCAGAAGCAGAGTGCACGAACTTAACCACCATGCCACCCGGCCGGCCCCCTGCTTTTTAATATTTTGATAACTGTATTTCAATAAAATCAATTTCCTTTGTAATCCAACATATTTTATACAGTTAAAAACATTATTCTGAGCAGGGGCCCATGGGCTTCACCAGACTGCCAAAAGAGATACCCAGCACAAAGAAGGTTAAGAACTACTATGCTGCTGGAAACCTATGTTTCCACACAGCCTACCCGTGTACGGAATGCCCAATCAGGCGTCCCATTTAGAGCAAGGCCTATAGACACAGATCTACCAACACACCAGCAAAGGACATCCATCAACTCTCCAGGCCTTTCTTAAAATCAAGGGACAATGAAGGAACACACAAGCAAGTGATAAAAATCTAGAGTAGGAGTCGTTAAACTATGACCCAAGAGCCAAATCTATCCTGCCCCTGTTTTTGTAAGTCAGCAAGCTAATGGTCTTGACATTTTTAAATGGTTGGAAAAAAAATCAAAACAATAACACCTCATGACACATGAAAATTATATAAAATTCAAATATCAGCATCCATAAATAAAGTTTTATTGGAACAGAGCCATGCTCACTCACTTTCACAATACAACAGCAGAGTTGAGCAGTTGCAAAAGAGATTATATATGGCTTTGGCGCTCTCATCACTTTACACTGATGCTCAGTGCACTATAAATTTCAATAACGGTAATAACTTGACAGCATTTTGAGTATCTCATGTATCACCAAGCCATGACATTTTTTTTCATTACCAGTGTACATCTACCAGGTCAAAACATGAAAAGAAGACTTTGAATGTCACGTATTTAAGGCACACTGAAGTGTGGATTATTTTATTATCAAATTAGATGGCAAAGCATTATGGTTATTATGTAATGGTACTACAGGAGTGCTGAAAGAACATAATATATGTTGACATTACAATATTAAGCATTCATCACAACAGTCCCAACTCACAGGAAAGCAATGGTCAGAAAAACCAGAAAATTTACACAAAATATATCATCACAGAATTATTTCTTTACAAAAATAAAAAACGAAAAAGAGGTTGCAAAGTTAAGTTTCTGAGTGGCTCACTTGTTAGCCAAGCAAAGAAAGTGGATGGTGGGTTAATTAAATCATGTTTGATTACAGCACTTGAAGAAATTTCCAGAGAAAATGAAGTTAAGACAATTGGCCTTTTGGCAAGAAAAGTTTCTCAAAGACAAGAGGAAATCTGGAGAAATTTCAACAGACAATTAAAAAAACAAGACAAATTATATCAAGTGGTTTTCCTTGGCTCTTGATGAGTGGACAGATGTTAGTGATTCTGCTCAATATCACTGTGCTGTCCAAAGATAAAACAAGAAGCAAGATCTCCATTCTCACACAAATTGCAGCAGATATATTTTCCAGACTCAAACTACAGTTCCAGCCGAGTTTTTCAGACTTGAACGCAGGTGCAAAGGAAACTGCCATTTCAAAATCCATTTAACTGTGCAACTGAGAAGTTATCACCTAACCCTCAACTGAAAGGGATGAATCTGCAACGTAATGACATGCTAAGAGACAAATCTCAAGAGAAGAATCTAATAAAATCCTATAAATGCCTTTCAAGCAATGAATACATTCAATGAAAATCATGCTGGTGAACTGGTAAGAGTATTCAGCAGTACCTATCTGTAGTGAGAAGACATCTTCAAAGATGAAATGTATAGAATCTAATTACAGATCGGCATTAAGAGATGAATCTTTGCAATCAACTTTGATAGGGAACACTAAGTTTGAACTCCAATTAAACAAATTATTATCCCAAAAAGGAGAATCCCATTCTTCTCATTAGTAAATCTGTATTACAAAAACAGATCATTATTGTGTTAAATTTGAAAGTTGTGGAAATTTGTTTTCTCTCTCTCATTATATCCATACCTACATTACAGCCTCAATTTTGCTTCTTGGCTTGCAAAGCCTAAAATATTTGCTATTGTGTCCTTTAAAGAAAATGTTTACTGACTCCTGATTTCAGGATACTTACAAAGGAACTGGAAGTAGATTGGCAAGACTTCACATTAGCAACAACGAGTAGTAAAAGAAAATGGAGCAATAACCTCAAACTTAAATCTATCTCAGCCTAGCTACCTATCAACTATGAGGATAAATTCAAGATATGTTCAGACATGTTAACAAGAACTCAAAAGTTTAATCCCATGCATTCCTATAAAACAGTGTATGTGAGCCAAATGAGAAACCTACAGTCAGAAAACGATACCTAAAAAAAGATGTAATTTACAGTAGCCTCATCAAATACCAGCCATAAATTTAACAAAAGGTATATAAGATGTAAGACATCTACAAAGAAAACTATAAAACACTGTTGAGAGAAATTAAAGAGGACCTCAAGTTTGGACACTTCAATATTTTAAAGATGTCAATTCTCCCCTAAATGATCTATAGAATCAATGGATTCCCAATGAAAATCCCACCAGAATTTCCTGTGGAACCTGACAAAGGGATTCCAAAATTTATGTGGAAATGCTAAGAATAGACAAGACACTTAAAGAAGAAAAACAAGGTGAGAGGACTTGCTTAGCTGATATCCAAACTCATTATAAAACTGTAGTAATTAACACAGTGAGGTCTTGGGGGAAGAGACAAATACACCAGTGTAAGAGAACAGAGTCTAGAAACAGACTCATCTGATCACGAACACTTGATTTCTGACAACAGTGACACTGTAGACCTGCGAGGGAAAAGACAGTTCTTTTCCCCCAACGAATGGTTTATGATACCATAGAACAATGATGTATGATAATGAAAAAAAAAAAAAAATTTAAGAAATTCTCTATCTGTAATACAAGTACACTTTTTATCAAAAGTAATAATAAAAAAAAAAAAAAAAAAAGGTAAAACAGAATTTGTCCCCTCTACCTCATACTATACACAAAAATCAATTTAAAGTGATTATAAATTTAAGTGATTATAAATTCAATTTAAGTGATTATAAACTTAAATGCTAAATGCAAAATAATAAACCTTTTAGAAGACACTCTAGGAAAATATTTTTATTATCTCAGGATATTTAAATAAAACACATAAAGCACTAACTACAAAGGAAAAGACTAATAAATTTGAGTACATTAAAATTATAAACTTTTTATCAAAAAATGCTGTTGAGTGGAAAGAAAGCAATAAAATGAGCAGATATTTGCAACACATAATCCACAATGAAAGGAAAACCCCCTTATATCCAGAATAAAGAACTACAAGAAAAAGACGGACAAACAAACAAAAAAGGAAAAAAAGACTTGAACAGGCACAAAAAAGGGAAATACAAATGGACAAACATGAAAAGATGCTCCATCTCAACAGTAATCAAGAAAATGCAAACCAAATTACAATGACATACCTCACCAGACGGCAAAAAGTAACAAAGGTAACAACATCAAGTGTGGAGCAGTAGAAATACAGTCTCTCATACATTGCCTTGGGAATAAAAATCAGTAGACCCATTCTGAAATACAGTGTGGCATTATGGTAAAGGTAAAGATGTCTATTCTCTAAGACCCAGCAGCTCCTCCCCTAGCTAAATGCAGAGTATGCACAGCAGGATATAAGTGAAAGAATGTAGCAGCACTGCCCATAACCTCTAAAAATGGGAATCAGACCAAATGTCTACCAACAATAGAATCTAGTGTAGTCAAATAATGAAATATTATGCAGCTAAGAAAATGAACAAGCATACACCACACTATGCATAATCTTATAATGTTGAGAAAAAGAAGACAGAAAAGAACAAAAACAACACTATTCTATTTCTGCAAAGTGCAAAAATAGGCAAGAAAAACTGTATTCTTAAGGATGACAGCATCAGTAGTAAAACTGTCAAGATCAAGGAAGTGATTAGTACATAAGTTAGGACTGTAGTTGTCTCTAGGAGGAAACAAGGGGATATGACTGAGGAAGGAGGCATCAGAGACTTTGTGGGTAATGTGCTTTCTTGACTTGCAAAGTGTTTACCTGGGTGCTCTCTTTTTAATTAGCTAAGACACTATACATTTATGTTTTACGCACTTGTGAGCAAAGAGCTTGGGCTGAAGCAAGCCTACTTAGGAATAATCTAGGTGACGACCTTCTCACCATACTGTTTCTTGGAAACTACTTAAAGTAATTATATTATATTGTATCTGCCTATCTCTTGTATGGGGTTATACACGGATTGGGGGACTTTATATTGAGGGCATGAAGGAGTGAGGCCTACATGACTAAAATAGTATAAAAAAATTTGTGGGACATCCAAGCTGCAGTTTCTCAGTGTTAACCTCAGCTCTTGTCCACAGCAGCCATACATGCCCCAAAGGGCAAAAAAAGTTATATACTTGGGTAGCTGAGATGCTTCCCGAGGAGATGAAGATGCTGTACCTGCCGTATTTTTCTGTCCTGTATGCTTTTACAAAGCTAAGTACAAGAGTGTTAGGGCCGGCCCAGTGGTGTAGCGGTTAAGTGCGCGCGCTCCGCTGCGGCAGCCTGGGGTTCAGATCCTGGGTGCGCACCGATGCACCGCTTGTCAAGCCATGCTGTGGTGGCGTCCCATATAAAGTGGAGGGAGATGGCCACGGATGTTAGCCCAGGGCCAGTCTTCCTCAGCAAAAAGAGGAGGATTGGCATGGATGTTAGCTCAGGGCTAATATTCCTCACCAAAAAAAAAAAAAAAAAAAAGTCATGTTATAGCCTATTTGTGTCTTGTGAGTCTTACTGCCAATTCGAACCCATTCTTTTGTAGTGTGTTAAATTTCACAATAAAAAGTTGAAAAAGAGACAAGAGAGGAGCAGATATTGGCTTTGTTATGGGTTTGACTATATCCTTCCAAAATTCTCATGTTGATGTCCTAACCCCCAGTACCTTAGAATGTGACTTTATTTGGAAATAGGGCCACTGCATGTGAAATTAATTAAGATGAGGTCATTAGGGTGGGCTCTAATTCAATACGAGTGGTGTCTTTATAAAAAGAGGAAATTTAGACACACATATGCAAACAGGGAGAACGCCATTCCAACATGAAGGTCAAGATCCAGGTGATGCTTCTGGAAGCCACGCCAAGGAGCACCAAAGATGGCCAGCACACCACCAGAAGCTAGCCGAGGGCATGGAACAGATTCTTCCTCACAGCCCTCAGAAGGAACCAACCCACACCCCTTAATCTTGGACTTCTGGCCTCCGAAACCACAAGACGATAAATTTCTGTTTAAGTCACCCAGTTTGTGGTGCTCTGTTATGGCAGTCCTAGCAAACTAATACAAGCTTTAAGCTACAAATCACTACGGTTAGTTAAGTTAGCAAATCAAAATCCTTAAAAATTTTGATCTAATTTGAAAAGAAAGAAGTTTTTGAAACGGTTTACAATCCATTTCAGAAATAGAGAAAACCCCCAAAAAAGCAATGCACTAAAAATAGTTCATGTTAAATGACAACAAACTTCTTGAATGATAAATTTTTTCAAAAGTGTAACCAAGTTTCCTCGATACAAGTAACTGGGTCTCAAATGCTGACTAAAGTGAGACAATAAAGGATCCCTAATAAATCTCTCACACCCAATCCTGTCTATTTTTTCAATATGCCAACTTAATCTTACTTTTTTGGGAATTTGCTCACACTCCAGTTTTACTTCCCACTTTATTTTCTCTTCTTGTGTTTCTTCAACTTCTGTATCATCTATTTCATCATCGATTCTGTAGCAAAAATATCAAATAACACAAAAGGGTTTTTTCAACCTGAAAAGGGTTCATGCCATAACATTAAAATTCACTGCTTTGGCTTATCTTCCACTTGCCATCAAAGAAATTCCAAATTCAAATTCTACTCCAAATACTCCAGAAAAATAATGTACAAAATTATGATAAGCAGTAAGTGTCAACATGTTTATAAGCAAACAGTAAAGCTGAAATTTTAGATTACATAACCTTAATGTTCAAGTATTAGCAGCTATACAAATCATCCATTCATTCATCATTCCATCCACTAGCAAACACTAAATGTCTACCATACACCAGGGTCTGGGCCTGAAATCCTGGGATGCAACAATGAAAAAGACAGACCTCGTCCCTGCCTTCTGAGAACTTTCTATCCGCCTGAGAGAAAGAAATAAAACAATTTCAATATAGTGTGATGAGTGTAGATGCATATATGAGGAACATGTAACCTAGATTTGGGGGCCAGAGGTTTTCTGAACCTTAAAGACATCAAGAGTTAGCAAACAGAGAGGAACTTAAGGGAGAAGAGTATTGCAGGTAGAAGGCAGGGCAACTTCCAAGGTCAGGAGAGAGCCAAACTTATATTCAAGTGGGAAGATGAAAAAGAAAAGCTGTTTTCAGACTCACAAGGACTGAGAAGTTGAACATGCACAGACATCGTCTGAGAGAATTCCTTGGCTAGTCCAGCAAAACTAAAAATGAACCCCAAAAAGATAAAGACGGAAAATAAGACAACTGTGTCTCAGCAAGGAGTGACTGCTGAATAAAAGCTTAAGATACGAGTTACATGCCAGATTAAGGCAAGGACCAGGCAATGCGTACATTCTCAAAAGAACAGGTTACCAATGGAAAGCACTGTTAGCACAAGAAGGTGAATAGTGACTTTGTGCTTCTTTCAAAGTTACAGAGGAGCTCAAGCTTCATAGCTTCACCCAATTCAGCAGTTTACCACTGATCTGTCCCTAGTCAGAGCTTCAGAGTCACATCCATCAGAGGAGGTACCAAGTTGTGAGCCTTCTACAGAAAGCCACCACTTCAGGAGCCAATAAAACACACACTGTGCACCTTCATTGCTCTAGTTTTCAGTAATGCATCATCTTATGCAGTAGGAAGCAAGCTCTCCTTAGACAGAGCAATAATGACTACAACCGCAATAACAGCAGCAGCTAACACTTGCGTTATGCTTACTCTGTGCCAGGCGCTGTTCCCTGCACGTTATACATATCACAACAACCCTATGACATACATACTGTTGTTAAAAGGCCTGTTTAACAAATGAAAAAACTGAACTATGGAAAGCTTATGTAACTTGTCACAGACCTAGTAAATGGCAGAACTGAGATCTGAGCCCAAGCAGCCAGTGCCAAGTTCCTATTCAACATATCCACCTGAACATCTACTAGACGTAATCTTAATATATCCAAAAATGAACTCTTGATCTAATCCTCCTGCTCTCTTAAACAGCAACTCCATCCTTCTAATGATACTGATCAAAAACCTTGAAGTTGACCTTGACTCCTCTCTCATATCCCATCTGTGAGGAAATCTAGTGTATCTTCAAAATATGTCCATATTTGACCACTTCTTGCCACTAACACTACGATCCAAGCTATTCCTGCCCCTCTACGTTCCACTCTCAACACGACCAGAATGACCCTGCTGAAATGTCACTCTCTGCTGAAAACTCTCCCACAGCCTCTTATCTCACTCAGGGTAAAAGCCCAAGTCCTTATTACGGCACCTACAAGTCCCTACACGTTCTGCTTCCCCCACCCCGTCCCCGACACCTCTCAAGTCCTACTTCTCTTCAAGTCCCACCACCCAATCACACCAAGCTCACCACCTCAGGACCTTTATATGGAACACCCTCCTCGCTAGATATCAACCTCCCTCACCTCCTTCAGGTCTCCACTCGAATGTTACTTATCAATGTTATTAGTGAGGCTTTAACCACCTTCTTTAAAATATCCATAGCCTCCCTATCATCTCATCCTCCCTTCTTCTCCCCCTACTCTGCTTTCATTTTCTCCATGGCACCTATCATTAGATGATATACTATATATTTATGTATTGTTTGTGCACCAAGAATCTAAATCTCATGAGTACAAGGATTTTTATCTCTTTTATTTATTTATTGCTATATCCCCAAGGCCTAGAATAGTGTCCCCTACATAGCAGGTGCTCAATAAATCAGTAGTCCCATCATAAAATTACTGGGGGGGGGGAACCCCAGAAACCATAAAAGATTGACTCATTTGACTGCATTTAAAACAAACAAAAAACTTTTATGCATTGAAAATAACGCCATACACAAAGTCAAAAGACAAATAACAAATTGGGGGTAAAATATCTGCAGACTAGAGATCCTAAAACTTTAAAGAGAAAGACCAAGGAAGAGAAAAATGGGCAAAGGACACGAACGAGGCACAGTTCACAGATGTTCACTATACTCCAATATCATTCTTCACCTAACACTTGGACGAAAATCCAAAAGTGTCTTTTATGTAGTTCAGTAAAATTTTTGATAGCTGCTACTTGGTTTTTATATTTTGCTATTGTCTTTTCTATGATGATTCACTTTGCATTCAGAATTCACCTCTTATTGTTATTTTTAATAGTATATTAATTGGTTCCTCTTGTTTTTCTTTGTAGTTGATCATACCATCTGCAAGTAATTAGGGTCTTTGTCTCTTTTCAATACTTATAGGTCTTATTTTATTTTAGTCATTTTGCGTTAGAAGTATGGTGATGAAATCATGGGTCTGGAATAAGACTGTCTGGGTAACTTAATCCTAGTTGTGCCACTTACACTGTGTCATCTTGACAAGTTATTTATCCTCTCTGTGCCTCAATTTTCTCATCTGCAAAAATGAGGATATCATCTCTTTAAGGTTGTGGTGAAGATTAAATAACATATTTCAGGTAAAGCCACGTAGTGAAGCTCTTGGTGGTAACCTGAATTAAGGTCACAGCTTCAATTCCGGTATTTAAGACGCAGAGGAGTGAACAGGGATATTGAGAAGTAAAATCAACCAGAATAAGATATATCAGGGATGAGAGAAATAAAGGAACAAAGGATTTGTGTCACGGTTTCCGCTTAGGTAAACCGGGGGGAAAGACTTAGCGTTAGGAGAAAAGATGGTTTTCAGCAATTCAAACTCACAAAAGAACGGGAACGAATATCTGCGTAGAAATAAACTACACTACACACGTCTCCAAGTATGAGGTCAATAAATCAGCGCCATTTGGTCAACAGTTTCAGTGCCATTTTCAATCTGAAGGAAATATTATATCCAAACGGTGTTTGCTGCTTTACGATGGTCTTTCGATGCAAATCAGTGGCCTAAAGGAGCACGATTCACTATTTATCCTTCACCGCTTAATGAACCTAGGCTTTCGTCTCGGCTACAAAAAAGCGCCCAGCACGTGCCGGGCAGAAATGACAGACGATCTCTGCCCTCCGGGAGCTTTCGGCCTGGCGGCAGCACCAGCGCTGTGGGAACACACGGGCGGCCCCAGCCCGGCGCAGAGGGGCCGCAGCGCAGAGAAAGGGGGGCAGCCCGGAGCCTCCCCCGCCCCATCGCCGCCTGGACCCCGCCGCTGCGCTCGCCCAGGCTCCCGGCACCCCCGGCCGCGGCGGGCTCGGAGCTGGACCCCATCTCCGGCTCCCGACCCCCGCCCCGAACGACCTCCCCACGTCCGAGCGTCGCCGGCCCCGGGGCCCCCCGCACTGCCCACGGGACCTCGCGGCGTGGCCCGGCGGCCTCCACAAGGCACGACGGGGCGGAACCCGGCTGGGACCCCCGCGCTCAAGGCATGAAAGGACGGGAGATCACCTTTCGTCAGAGTCCGTGGCCACGTTTCTGCCGAGGGCCGGGTTGGGAGGCTTGGAGAAAAGATTCTCAAAATCCATCATCCTGTGGAGAGCGGGACAGCCACTGAGCACCAACCACAGCGTGAGGAGGAGGCACCCAGCGCGACGCACAGGGCCTCGGGCCGCCCCGCGCATGCGCCGCCCCGCCCCGCGCATGCGCCGCCCCGCCCCGCTCTGCGCACGCCCGCTCTGCCCCAGTCCTCCTGCGGCTCTGCGCAGGCTCCGCACTCGTTCCTTGCTTTGCGGGGCGTTCTTTGGTCCGTTATCTCGAATGATTAGAAGGGTTTTTAAGCTTAATCCTTCGGATTCTCCTTTCTTCCAATTCAGTGAGAACTGTTCCATGGAAATCACCGTGTCTCTGAGGAGTGGTGGCAATGGCTAACATTTATGTGAGCGCTGACTGTGTGATCACAAAAGTCATCGTTTTGCATTTTAGCTCACCTAGCCCGCGTCACAACGGCCCTGTAAGATGTGTATTATTACCTTCCACGTTTTTCAGGCGAGTGAACAAAGGTGTGAACAGGTTATGTGACTTGTAGAGTCTCTACGACCTAAGGAGATTCAAATAAACGCATAACTTGAAGGAAGAAAGTCCATTAAAAAGTACCAAGGGCTAAGAGGATTCAGAAAAGCAAAAAAGCACATTGATTGGGAAGGCTTCCCGAAAGGGGTGTATTTGAGCTCGGTCTTGAAGTAATTTCCATAGGAAGAGATGAAGTTAGGGGCAAATGGGCATCCCAAGTGGAGACAATTGTATCAAGGCGGGAAAATAGAGTACACTTTTGGAAAACAGGGATCTGTTCAGTTTTGCTTAATGTAACGCCAGTGTAGAGCTATAGTAGTAAGGAAGGCTCAAACGGTAGGTTGGGCCAATGACAGAGAACCTGACTTGCTTCTATAAGTGAGAGACTGTTTGGTTCCTTGCATAAATCAGGGTCCACTTCACAGACAAGTGAAAGGAAATTCTTTGTTCTAATTATGAAAATGTAATAATGAATTTGTAGATTCCCCCATACCCAGAGCGACCTTTTCGCATCCAGCAGAGGGAACCCACTCTGAAGGGGAGTTATTTGAAGCCAGACATCTTCCCCAGGGAAGTTGTACTTTCCCCTGTTGTTTATATTATGGACAATCACCTTCTTTCGTACATGAATGGTTACTAAAAACCGAGAGGAAAATTGAATTGAATTAAGGTAGTACCCCCTCTTTGGAGGAAAGTACTGTATTACAGAACTCAAATTATTGTCATACATACTTTTTCATATAAAACATCCAGCATACAGCACAAGATAACCAGGCCACAAAAGGAAATTAAATTCATGGGTAAAACGGCCGGCCCCATGGCTTAGCGGTTAAGTGCGTGCGCTCTGCTGCTGGCGGCCTGGGTTTGAATCCCAGGCGCGCACTGACGCACCGCTTCTCCAGCCATGCTGAGGCAGCTTCCCACATACAGCAACTGGAAGGATTTGCAACTATGACATACAACTATCTACTGGGGCTTTGGGGGAAAATAAATAAATAAATAAAAATTAAAAAAAAAAGAAAACTATACTAAAAAAAAAAAATTGATGGGTAAAAAACGGCAAACAAGAAAAATTGACCTGCAAGGGCATCATATACTACCATTTTCAGATAAAGACTATAAAAGGCTACATATGTTTCTGGTAGATCGATTCCAAAAATGGCCCCAATTCTCCATCCTTCCCTATATCCAAAACGTTCACAAGCCTAGGCCCCAAGAAGCTTTGTATGTGTCTGCTCTCTGTCTTGAACTTCTGCCTTCTCCCGGACAAGCCCAGGCCACCTTGCTGAAGATAAGCCAGAGACATGTGGAGGATAAGACAAATGGAGGAGAGCAAAAACATCCAGTCAACAGCCGGCAAACTCCTGAATGCAGAGCCACCTAGCCAACACACAGCTGCCCCCAGACATGTGACAGATCCCGGTGGAAAACTGAAGAACCTCCCAGATTATCCCAGTCCAAATTGCTGACCCACAACATAGTGAGCTAAATAAATGGTTGTTTTCAAGCTACTAAGTTTTATAATTTTTTTTTTCCCCCAAAGCCCAGTAGATAGTTGTATGTCACAGCTGCACATCCTTCCAGTTGCTGCATGTGGGACACGGCCCCAGCATGGCCGGAGAAGCCGTGCGTCAGTGCGCGCCCAGGATCCGAACCCGGGCCGCCAGCAGCAGAGCGCACGCACTTAACCTCTAAGCCACCAGGCTGGCCCTCAAGCTACTAAGTTTTAAAGTAGTTTATTATACAGCAATATCCAACTGATAAAAAGGAAACTATAAAAAGTGACATAGAGGAATTAAAAAAGAACCACATTGGGGCTGGCCCAGTGGCATAGTGGTTAAGTTCGCACACTCTGCTTCAGTGGCCTGGGGTTCGCATGTTGGGATCTTGGGCACGGACCTACACACCACTCATCAAGCCATTCTGTGGTAGCATTCCACGTACAAAATAGAGGAAGATTGGCACAGATGTTAGCTCAGTGACAATCTTCCTCAAGCAAAAAGAGGAAGATTGGCAACAGACTCTAGCTCAGGGCCAATGTTCCTCACCAAAAAAAAGCAGGAAAAAGAACCACATAGACCTTCTAGAAATAAAAAATATGATACTGATATTAAAAACTCAATAGATAGTGTGGTAGTTTTAAAATGTGTTCAGATTCTTTAATACTTCTCCCTTCAAAAGGTGGAGCCTTATTTATTCCTCTCTTCTTAAGTGTGGATTAGATTTAGTGACTCACTTCTAACAAATACAATGTGGCAAAAGTGATGGTGCCTGACTTTTGAGGCTAACTCATAAAAGGTATTGCAGTTTCTGCCTTAGTCTCTTGAATCACTTTCCTGGAGGGAAGTGAGTTACCACGCATGTAGCCTGTGGAGAGCCAGCTGTGAGTGAGCCACCTTGGAAGCAGATCTTCCAGCACTAGTCAATCCAGAAGACATCTTGCCCACAACCTCATGAGAGGCTCTGGGACAGAACTACCTAGCCAAGTAGCTCCTGGATTCTTGACCCACAGAGAATATAAAAAGATAAGTGTTCATGTTTTAAACCACAAAGTCTTGGGGTAATTTGCTATACAGCAATGGATAGCGATGTTACTATCATTATAGACCAGCTGGCTCAAATGTAGAATTATCATAGGACCAAGAAATTCTACTCCTAGGTATATACCCAAAAGAATTGAAAACAGGAACTAGAACAGATATTTGCACACTCGTGTTCATTGCAGAATTATTCACAAGAGCCAAAAGGTGGAAATAACCCAAGTGTCCATCAACTGATAAATGGATAAACAAAATGTGGTATATACATACAATGGAATATTACTCAGCCATAAAAAGGAATGAAGTTCTGACACATGCTACAGCATGATGAACTTTGAAAACAGTAAGCTAAGTGAAATAATCCAGGCTCAAAAGCACAAATGCTGTATGATTCCACTTATATGACATATCTAGAATGGGCAAATTCATAGAGACAGATAATAGATTAGAGGTTATCAGGGGCTGGGAGGGGGAAATGGGGAATTATCGCTTAACGATTACAGAGTTTATGTCAGGGGTGATGAAAAAGTTTGGAAACAAACAGGGATTGTTTCACAACAGTGTGAATGTAATGAATGCCACTGAATTGTAACTTAAAAATGGTTAAAATGGCAGATTTTATGTCATATATATTTTACCACAATAAAAAAAGAAAGCAACTGGCATGATAAAATGGTGGAATGGCCTCTTAAGAACTCAGTTACTGGGGCCGGCCCCGTGGCTTAGCGGTTAAGTGCGTGTGGTCTGCTACTGGCGGCCCAGGTTCGGATTCCGGGTGCGCACGGACACACCGCTTCTCCGGCCATGCTGAGGCCGCGTCCCACACACAGCAACTAGAAGGATGTGCAACTACGACATACAACTATCTACTGGGGCTTTGGGGGACAAAAAGGAGGAGGATTGGCAATAGATGTTAGCTCAGAGCCAGTCTTCCTCAGCAAAAAGAGGAGGATTAGCACAGATGTTAGCTCAGGGCTGATCTTCCTCACACACACACACAAAAAAACTCAGTTACTGTATTAGTTAGGTGCAAAGTGCATCCTTTGTGGACATATGCTGCACATCAGCAATCAACTTATGGTCCTGTTTCTCCCACTGCCAGGATTCATGGTCTGGCAATCAAGCCATGGAAATGGTAATAGAGCCTCTCTTTATTATCCCTACTGATGCTCTAGCCAAATTTTTGCTTCCCATCCCCACAACTTTGGGCTCTGCGGATCAAGAGTAGAGTTTTTCAAACTCAGCATTATTGACATTTTGGGCTGGATGATGCTTTGTTGTGGGCGGCAGTCTTGTGCATCTTAGGAAGTTTAGCAGCATCCATGGCCTCTCCCCATTAGATGTCAGTAGCACTCCTTCCCCAGTTGTGAAAACAAAAATGTCTCCAGACATTCCCAAATTGGGGCAAAGTCATCCCCAGTTGAGAACCATTGGTCTAGAGTTATTAATCCCAGAAGTAGAAATACTTGCATCAAAGAACATGACAATGACTCCATTAAACTTGAAGTTGAGAATGCCATTTGGCCACTTAGGGCTTCTCAGGCCAGTGAATCAACAGACACAGAAGGGGCTTATTATACTGGCTGGGTTGATTAATCTTAACTATCAAGTTATCCTGGCTACACATAAGGATAAGAAAAAATATGTCTAGAAGGCAGGAGATTTCCTGTGGGGAGTCTAAGTAATCCTATGTCCTGTGACTAAAGTCAGCAGGAAACAACAACCCCACAAGCAGCACTGCTAATGGCCCAAATCCTTCAGAAATGAAAGCTTGAGTTATCCACCAAGAAGGAGCCAAGACTAGCTGAGGACAAAGGGAACACGGCAAAGGGTGGAAGCAGAAGGTAGCTATAAACCAACTACAACCACATGACCGGTAGCAAAAATGATTGTAATAGTTATGACTATTTCATCCTTAATTTGATATAAATATATATGTGTACACATATGTGCATGTGAAATATATATATCAATATAAATAATAATAATCTTCCCCTCTCCCATTCCCTTAGCATCTAACACATGATGTGTTAATAGTAGTTAATTTTATATTTCGTTACTTAGG